CGTTAGGGAAATCTCCCATCTGCAAATTGTGATTAATCTCTTTATTTTCTAGATTAGAAGCCCCTTCAGCGTAAAGTCGTGGAGGATAATCCCGTGCTTGATCTTCAGAAATAGCCATCTGATCCTAAAACACATATATAGATAAATCAGCCGCAATAGAAACAAAACTCAGTAACAACATAATAAATAACCCAGCCACCATAGCAATAACTCAGCCAAAACATAATCAATAACTCAGCCAAATCATAAATAATAAATAACTCAGCCACAACATAATGTATAACTCAGCCACAGTAATCAATAACTCAACCAAAACATAATCAATAACTCAGCCGGATCATAATCAATAACTCAGCCACTTCATAAATCAAACTCAACTCAGCCACACTATACAATAACTCAGTTACAACATAATCTATAACTCAGACACGACGTAAATCAAACTCAGGCACAACATACCAGAGAAGATGATGTCGTAGATACGATTATGTCGAAACTTTTGCGGAGAAGAGGATGTCGACGAAGATGATATCGGAGACGGTTAGGGTTTAACGAGGTCGACGAAGATGATTTAAGATATCGGAAACACTGTTTGAAACGAGAGTATTAGTTGTGACGAAGATGATTTCGGGATTTCGGGATTTCGTAATCGACTAGGGTTTAACGAGAGTTGTGACGGAGAAGAATGTAACATTAAGACTTTTTTTTTGTTCACCGGAGATATGGGACTCTTGATTTTCCAGTGTAACTGATGACACAAATTAGTTAGTGACGTGGATTGTCAAATTATGATGTGGATTTAATAATTAAAATTTGTATCAATAGTAACAAAATTAAACAAAGGTGTTTATTGTAATTTACTAGGAGTCTAAAAACATTCTAGTAATTTTTAGAAAATATATACTATTCTAGTCATATAGAAGGTTTTGTGTATCATTCTAGTAATTTTCTCTAAAATAGATGCATATACAATTTTATCTCGCGCAAGACGCATATCTTAACCTAGTTACTTTAATAGTTAGAAATATAGGTTACTTTCTTTTAAACAACTTGAAAATACCCACCAATCTTAATTTAAAGTTTTAGAAATCTAATTTGAGTTGAAGTTCAACACTGGATCATATGTTGACCAATATGCCAGTAAACCGGAAACCAAATCAAACTGAACCACACTTGGACATAAAATCGAACACTGATCAAATAACAAAAACGTAAAAACATTTCAGCAATAATATACATAACACACTACACACTCTTAAACTAGAATACAAGAAGTTTGAACAAAAAAGAAAAAAAACCTAGAATACAAGACGAAAAGAAAGGACAAGTTATAGTACAAATATAATTAAAACCAAACTATACAGAAGTGACATATGATGGATAAGTTTGGTTCAGTTCATGTCTGGACCGTGCAAAGCAAGGTGAAGAGCAATGCAGATAAAGATAATCTTTGTAATAGAGACTTCCGGCTTCGAAATTCCATTAAGAAATGGAACGTTGCTTCCCGAGAGACTGTTTTGGTTGATTCGATTCCCAAATGGCTGGTTGAGAGCAGAATTAGACGATGAAGAAGAAGTTTGTTGGTTGAATCCAGTTGGTGATGGCTGATTAAACCCGGTTAAAGGTTGGTTTACAGAAGAAGATGGTTGGCCAAGAATTGGTTGGTTGAGTCCAGTTGATGATGGCTGATTGAATCCGGTTAATGGTTGATTTAACCCGGTTAAAGGCTGGTTTACAGTAGAAGTAGAAGATGGTTGACCAAGAATTGGTTGGTTCTGGTTCTCAGCTGGAAAACCTAGTGGCTTTGTTGGTGAATTGGTACCTTCTCCTGTTGATTCTAATGGTGCGGCCAATTGAGTTTGTGGAGTTGTCTCTGAAGATGATGTAACCAAAAGGAAGAGAAGGATGATTGTGACCATCCTCTTTTGAATTTTGGCGAATTTCATGTTTATCTTTGAGTTTTTTTTTTCAAGTGATTTATCCGGTTAACTAAGCATTAGATCTTATAGACAGACCAATGTGGAGTTGTTAGCATATATAAGGTTGTCTGAGGAGTTGATGGAAGAAATAGAGAAAGCAGTTGACTTGAAACAGAAATCCAACTAAACCAACCATAGTGTGTTGTGTTTGTTTTGTTTCAAAACTATTACATTACTGTTATATCCTTATGCTGTGCTATATACAAAAAAAAATAAAAATGATAGAATATATAAATACAGAAGACTGTATCAAAAACCGGTTCGGGAAGCGAAATCCAAACCATCAAGGACATCCAAATCACTAGAAGAGTAGTTGTCACTTGAAAGATTAACTTTAGGAGAGTTTCCTGTACTTCTGCTCAGCGCCCATATCTTGATTCCTTTCTTGTTCTTCTTTTTCAGGCCTACGAACTCTTGGCTCTTACTTAGATGAGGACCAAATCTCATGCTTTGTACACTGTCCAACAACATCCTGTCTTCTAGAGAGAGTTGTTTTTTGTAGGTGAAGTCAGGGGAGAGAGATAGCTGCGTATTAGAGATGGTTATGTTGTTGGGTTCAGAGCCATATTTGGTTTCTGGAAGCTTAACGCCGTGAACTCGTTTCTTTGATGACTTTATTAGCCGATGAAGCCATACAACGAGTTCAAGTACATACGAATCAACTTTTGGTTTGTCCGCGTGGTAAAGTGTCTGAAGTCGTGTTGGGTTCCCGTTGTTCTCGCCTCTTCCCTTCCCAAACTCTATCCTGTTTTTTTTTTCACAATTCCATTATGGAGTTTACAAGAATCAAAAAATCCAGAGGAAAAGAGAGAGAGAGAGAAGGGGCTTACTTTGAATTTGCCCACTCGCCTACCCATCCAAATCCTTGATGTGCCCTGCGAAAATCAATACAAGTTATGAAAAACACGCACAAGAAGGAACATGCAAAGGTGTTGAAGGAAAGCTTACTTGGTGGTGTTTGTGGCGAATGGGACAAGCCATTGAAGCGACTTCTCCATTTCAGCTTTGATCTCAGATACTGAAAGCTGCAGATACACAAGTAGTTTGCCAAAAATAAATAAAAAACAATGCATGAGGAGAGAAACAAAGAACTTTTTGAACAAACCTCTTCCTCACGATCAAGAGTTTGTAGCCGAGGACGAAGAGATGTCTTGACAGTAGCAGGTAGTGCATTGTACAGCGTGTCTCTTACATTAGAAGGAAGTGATGAAGGTCGGGACGCCTAGAAATTCCATATATATTAGTTTCAACCAGATAATACAAAATCCCTTCTTAATTTTAAAACAACACTACTGGATGAGAGAATATGGATATGCTTACAATACTATCAATTTGTTGGATAAGATTAGCATAGTGTAACGAAAGACCGGCTTCACCTAATCGTTCTCTTCCCTGCTTCCCTTCATTGGCTTTTACACCTATTGTTGGTTTAGAGTGTCTTTTAATCCATGATTTTAATTTCCAGGAGTAGGATCATAATCAGAGGACCACAAGTACTAAGAATCATTACCGTTGTTGCCAAAAACTTCCACAATGGACTGACGTATATAGCAAACCACATCCACAAGCTTCTCAATAATCTGCAACACAAGAAGAAGATATTATAAATGATGCCACACACTAAGACGTTAACAATTCAATAATCACTTGCCTCTCCCAAATTCCGGGACCAGAGAGACTTCTTCTTTAAGCTACTCACGAGTTTCCTCTGTTGTTTCAGTTCATTTTGTAAGATGACGATACTCTCTCCTACATGTATGAAAAGAAAATGAAATTGGAAAATCCTAAAGAGAGTCCTGGACTGATCAAATAAATAGCGAGACCAACCTCTTTTAGAAAGGTTTAAAGACTCTACTTCCGCCAGCTTTCTCCTGTAATCTTGTTCAAACCTATCCAAAGCTTGCCACTCGTGATACAATTCCTGATAAAGCCAAAGCAAGTTAGTTTCAGACCCACCGGGGAGTTCAATGCAACTTCAACATAGGAATGAGTCATATTAGGGCTTTTTGAATTGAAGTGAAGGAAAAAGCCGAAACATACAGAAGTGAAGCGGGCAAGAGTGACGAGCTCTTGCATCGCTGTCTCTGCCTCATCTTTGAGCACTACATGCTCCGAGTTCTCTGTGTCAAGCCTGAAACGTTATAGACCGGGCGGTGTATAATGAAAATCCAACTGGCATGACTAAAATCAAATGGACTTGCTCAACGCAGGTTAACTTACTTTTCGAAATATCGATTGAGGTTGTGCCACTGGAGATCTTTACACATATTGCCAAACCTGATCACCTCTCCAGAGAAAAGATCGAGTTCCTCCCTACAAAAGAGAATATGAAACAAGAAAGAAAACAAAAAACAAATGCAGATGAAGTAGAAAAAAAAAGGCAAACCTTTTGTCAGAAGCAGCAAGAATTTGCAACTCTTTGGTGTCCGTAGAAACCAACTTCTTAACACCCTTGGAACGCAACATATCCTTCTTCATGAGCTTGAGACTCTCTTCAGACAGAGATTGCAGCAAAACAGCACCTTTGGCTATCGTGTTGGCCACTTCGAATGCCAATATATTGACTTTGCGACCACGAGAGAATAAGACACCCGAGTGAAACCCGGTGACTGGGTTCATACCAGACATGCTGCTCCCCAGCGTGTCTATAACTCCAACCGCCTTCTCTAGCCCCATAACCCCTGCCCTTCCCAAAAACGAGTTCCTCTGCATAAACTGATAAAAAAATAAATATTTTCATCAAATACAAGATGATCATGAAAATGTTCCCAAGATTCAGGCATGATTCTTTTTCTTTTTTTTTTTGAATACCAGGAGGTTCGGAATATCTCCAGACATGTAATATTAGTTTCCGTCCTATTGGTCATTCGAACTGGGGACCTCTGACAAAATGGTCAGGATCCTTTCCAGTTGGGGTAATGACCTCTGGTATTTAGGCATGATTCATTTTGAACACACTAACAAATATATGGAAACACAAGAACCTTGGTGGAGTCTGATCTTAACGGAGGCACGGGGCCGAGTTCACCGGAGAAGTTGACGTGATTCTCATCAGTCTTTGAACTTTTCCTCCTTGAGCTACCGTAATGGTCAGAATAATACGGATCAGAGGTCGGTTTTCTCCTCATGGACTTGAGCTTCCCAGAGAAACCTCTTGACTTATCATCAACAACAACATCATGATCAACGGTGGATCTCAGCTTCTTATCATGATCATGATCATCATCTTTGAAACCAGAAGAACAAACACTTCCCATTTGTCTTCTGCAACAAGTAACCAACCTCTCAGGCAAAGACAACAACTTAAGGAAAACCGACATCAATAAAAGACCAAATAAGACGGCACAAAAAGTAATTCAAAGACTTCAAGAATTGCAACTATGGTAGGGACAAGAAGGACGACTTGGTAAAATAAGAGACGGAGAAAAGGTCAGAACAGAGGAAGAAGAGTTTTATTATTATTATTAAATAAAATCACAAAGGTGATTAAGAAGCAGCGTGGAATCAATGGCTCCATTTGTTTTGTTGACTTATCATATCAATTCTTCTAGACAAGTCAGAGAGACGACTATTCTCACTTTTTCTGCATTATTTTAAAAATTCCAAGGAGAGTCGACGGATAAGACCTCGCCGGCTTTGTACATGAACCATGACATCCTTATGTTAACATTTTTCAGCACTCTCCCGTTGATTTTTTTGTTTCCGAATATAATATAGTCCAATCGCATTCAAGCATAGTCAAAACTTAGTGAAAGTCCAAAGAGCGAGAAGCAGAGATATGATTGCTCTCCGAGACGCCGCGATCGGAAGGAGGTGGATTACGTCGCCGGGAACGTGACCGGCCCGGATATCGGGAGATATTACGGTTTAATCCCTTGAAAAGAGGTGTAATCGAGAGCGATGGTTCTATTTTGCTTTCACTGGATTTGAAATGTTTGATCTGTTACGTTGTTACTGGTTTATTTGTTTGAGGAAGATGATGAAGATGAGTGTGGGAATAGCGTGAAATGTGAAAGGATACGGCCCAAATATGTGACTATTGGGCTGTGTTGGGCCTATTAGTTTAGAGCCGCTATTTGGGTGGGTTCTAGTAAAAAAATTGTCAAAATATGTATAGTATAGTTTCACACTAAAAAAACAATATTTTTAGTTTTTATCGTTCCTATCTTATTAAGGCAGAACCATTACAACTTCTTCTAACTAGATTTTAAAGTTGGTCCACATATTATTAATCTATAGTCTAATTACGATATGATATTATTGTTCGTATGATATCTAATAAAGATATATTCTACACCTATACTTCAAAACTTAGACATCAAGATCACATATTTATTGTTGCCGTGAATTTCTATTATAGTTTCCTAGATCTTCTGAAACAGAATCACGTAAAATATCTACATATTCCATAACAACTAAATTTTAGATATGCTCTATTTAAAATATTTGATCCGGCAATTTCTTTTCAATGGGGGTGATTGGTTGGGTTGTAAGTGCTGACTTTAGCTTTAATTTTTATCTACAGCACTTAAATCACCAATCATGCTTTATCTTATTTTTTAAAACTACAACCAAAATCTAAAAAAATGGCTGTAAAATCCTTATTTTCTAAAGCCACATCTTTTTTGATGTAGAAAATATGTTGCTGTAGCAATAAATTTTAAAGGTACATCTCTTACAGCTAAATCAAAAAACTCTACAGACTAATTTCTACAGTAAAACTTTTACAGCTACAGTTCAACCAATCATCCTCAATATATACTTACCTACAATATGGGTAACCATTAAAACCGATTAGTAATATCCTATATTAAATATATGTAAATATCAATTTGATGGATCCCACACAATATACTATATATAAAATCCTACAAATCTCTATCCATCTATAAATATCCAAGCCAAGACTCATATAATCGACCATCAACAAAATTCAAATCCCTTTCGCCATGACTACGAATAACAATGTTTCTTTACTCAAAAAATATCAAGCCCTACAAACAAGGATGGCTCATCGAAGTGAAGTTGGTTCATTCATGAAGACAGAGAACCAATTATGGAGGAGACACTCTTGAGTTGATCTTCACTGATGAAAATGTGAGAGGATTTCGTTTTTTTAATAACCATATGCATTTATGTACTAACTTTTACAATCTATTTTTGTTTCAGGGTGATAAAATCCACTGTACGTACAAGAGGAGTTACATTCAGCGTATGTAACGTAAACTAAGTTTGGGTGAATGGCTACAAGTTTCGGTGACTTTTGTACGGGACAGTATCGTCCAACGAATCATGCATTCAAGATGTCCATCATCGAGGATATTGAAATAACAAAAAGTTATCTTGTGTGTGATGATAACTTCTTAAATTTTACTGGGTTTGAAGAGATTGGAATTGGAACCCTCAAAACGAATTTTCTAATTGGTTAGTGTATCAATCATGTTTTTATTATTTCTGTGGTTTTCAATACTAATTTTTAATATGTTTTTTTCCAATGTCATTGGTCAAGTGACCAGTCTTCGTGACATCCAAACTGTCCAGGTTTCCGGCATGGATAAGAAGAAAGTCGAATTTCTCTTGATGGATATCAAGTGAGTTAATCTATTAAAAGAGATATTTTGACCATTTATATCGTATTGTGTTGCTTATTGATTCTATTTTATTGACTTATAATTTCAGTGGTCAAAGTATTGCATGTTGTTTGTGGGGTAAATATGCTGAACAGCTAGAAGAACATCGCCAACAAAAAAATGATACTAATTTTGTATGCTTGCTCCGGTTTGCAAAACTAGGGTTTTACAAAGGTTTGAATAACATATAACCAAAAATTCTATTTTTATTTTAATTAAATAGCATACATAACTAATGTATCTGTTATTATCCTATGCTTATGTTTTATAGTGCTTATGTTTTATAGGAGAAGTTCAGGTAACCAATGCATTTGATGCATCCCTTATATTTTTTAATCATGAATTACCCGAAACTCTTGCTTTTAAAAATGTGTAAGCTTCTTAACTATTCTATTAATGAGTTTCTTATACTATAAAACATCTATTTTATTTGTACCATCCAATTGTATTTTCAGGGTGGCACATGATGAGCTTGCTCTTGCTCTTACTGATCCAAAGAAAGAGAAGCGACTGACCATATACCAAATTGATGATTGGAATGATGTCGATATTAAATCTATCTCTAAAATTATCGTGGCAACTATGTGACGAAAAAGAAGAAAATTGAGTCACATACTTATGTTTGAAAATTGCATTTACACATTTGAATATCTATATTATTAAAACAGAAACATCACAACTTCTTCTAGGTAAGATTTTTAAGTTGAACCTCATATTATTAATGTAATATTATATGTCTAATTAGTCTTACTACGATATGATATGATATGATATTTTACGAGTATCTATTCTTTAGGAAATTATTGATATTTCAGTATCTTATAATTAATAAGAAGATAATTATACTTCATGTTTAGGAAGTTAGTCATATATCATCATTTAACTATTAAATAACATTTAGTTTAGATATATACCTTATTCTTTAAGAATATCTCCAGTATATGTTTTTTTTAAACAGAAAATATCGATTACAATTAAAACTTTTGATTTCTGATTAATTATAAAGAACGATTTCAATTTTTAACAAATAATGCTTATGTTTGCTCCAAAAAAATTATAAATCAAAATAAATTTACTAGGATACAAATAAGAAATATTTACTTAAAAGTAGAATACTAAAAGTTAATTAATATTTATAATATTTGGTTATATTATTAAAAATTATGCTTGATGTTTTTACAGTTAAAATTTTTGTGGGTTATTCTATGAGGCGTACAAAATATTATCAAATAAAACTTAAATTGAAAAAAATATTTTATCGATTTTAATAGATTTTATCGTACTTTTAAATAATAGATTCGTTAAAAGCAAAACCGGGATATATCAAATCACCGGGTTTACTAGTTCGACTGCGGGTTCAAGTCGAGATTAAAAACGATGATTTGAATGTAAAATGTTTTCAATAGTCAAAATTCTTACAGATTAACAAAACATTTGTAACATTCTTAAGTGCGGGTCAAAATCATTGAAATTTAATAAAAAAAAATTATTTATTTTATAGAAACATTATATACAATATACATCTATAAATATACTTATATTCTAAATATTTTAAAAATGTATAGTGGATCCGAATTTGGATATCCAGACCTAAATTTCACTATCTGGATCCATAAAATCACCATATGATCTGGACCTTCGGATATCCGTTTATTCAGAGCAGATCGGAACGTACCTAGACCGGATAACGGAGATTAAGTCTGAAGTCTAATCAGAAGTAAGTAAACTCTCAACCAATCATCAAAACGCAAACAATTAAGTTTAACTTTAATTTTGCATTCCGAACAAACGTACATAATTATTATTTTGACTGCACGGTTATATCTACGTAATACACTCATGAACACTATTAATACAAAAAAACACTTTTGATATTTTCTTTAAATATAAAATAGAATTAGAGTAACTCGAAACAATATAAATCTAAATTATATAAAATACATCCAAAAAATAAAACTCGCGCAAGTGCGCGGGTCATGATCTAGTCTATCTTATTAAAACAGGAACATGACAACTTTTTCTAGATAAATTTTTTAAGTTGGACTTTTCATTATTATCTATATTATTAAAACCGAAACACACATTAAATTTTTTTGGATATATGGATAGCTGTATTAAAAATAAGTATCTTTGGAAACATGGATATCCATATTTAAGAAGATCTGATATTTCTTGTTACAAAGATTTGCTATTTATTTAAAACCATAAATAACAACCAAAATTAATTTTTGTCACTAAAAAAATATAACATTTGTAGTATGATTTATATGAAAATAAAATATCAAATTTATATAACTATGAATATTAATAAAAAAATCATGTCATATTAAATATCTATAGTGAGATATGTCAATTAATTTTTTTTTTGTAGTCTACGCTTTAGAGTTTTTATTATATATATATATTATATTTAAATATTTGTAGTAGAACATGTTATTCAAAAAGTTATTGCAATCAACTGATAAAATATATTCTCTCTTAATTTCATGCATCTAGTATTTAATATTTATAGTGAAATCTGTCAACCAAATTTCTTTTGCAATTCCCTTACGAGATATTCTCTTTTCCTTTACTAACAAAATATTCCAAAAATAATTTTACCTTATAAGCATAATATTTATTGTGAATTTATTAAAGTATATTCAATTTCAAAGTTTCTTGTGAAAGCTAGGTCATTTATAAACGTTTACCAATTTACTATATATAAGACATTTTCAGCAGAGAAACGAAGTCACTGA